TCTGAAGGTCTGCTCTTGAGTGGATTGCAATTCTCCAGCAAGTCTTGGTGTCAATTAAATTAGTTCTATTGCCACAAATAAACCACACCAAAATCAATAAGGGACGTCCTTCATCCTGCTATAAAAAAGGCAAAAACCTTAAAGCTCACAAAGCTTATGAACTTGACCAGTCAGTGGTGTGCACTGCGCCTATTGAATTTTTTGCATGTGATTAATGGTGTATTGATCCTGTGTGACACTTCTGCAAGGCATTTACAACACACGATAATGTCAGACAGCAACCTCTGCAAGCTACGATAACCGAGCTGTGCCTCAGTGCAGGAAAGAGAAACAATAAAGTAGCCATTTAGTAAAGCAAATGTGCAATAAGATGTATGAATTCACTATTTCATAGTAATTTTTTCTGGGGGAATAAATGATTTCACCCTCGCATGGGGTTTTTTTTTTCAGCTAATTCCAAATTCAGCCTTAAATTTACTGAGTTTACCAATGTTAATGTTCAGGGCTTTCTCGTAATTGAAGATTACTGTACTTTTTCAGTATGTTTTCTAAGTAAAAAACAGATATATGTATAGGATAATATGTTTTTGGAAAAACAAGTAGAGTCTTCCATAGCTAGTAAGGGCTTTGATCAGCTGTTGCTGTATCTGCCTAGACCATGTCCACACAAAGCTGGAGTTGTGTTTTTATTGCCTCTATCCATTCATCTTAACTTAATAACTGAGGATAGACTTCTATCCCACCTGTGGCAGCTGTTTAAACATGTCACCCAGTAACTTATTCCTACAAATCTAGATCCCCGCACCATCGGTGCAAGAGAACAATCCTTTCTTCTTCTTTGTTCCCATGCCCCATGTGCAGAACACCTGATTTTTATTTTTTTCTAGAATAGAGTAATGGAAGGAAGAGTTGTGCAACACGGCACCGTGGGTGGAAAACAGCCAGCCAACCTGTACCAGGAAAACAGCTATTACACGCACGCGATCCACAGCGTTAGTCCCATTACAGGGTTATAAAACCTGAGCCGGTTACAAAGCCCCGAGGGCTGGATCAGGAGCACTAAAACTTAATGGCAAGAGTGAGCTACTTTTCATTTTAGCCTTGACTTCTCCTCCACTCTGGCAGTAAATACCAGCAAAAATATGATTCAGTGACGGAAATGAGCTGTAATCTTTTAAGATGTGGAGACACAACCCTTGCTGCTGAACCAGGGGTACTCAGGTGACTGGGGTGCTTGGCCAGGGCACCGATGCTCAGAGGCCTTCAGTCATCAGAGATTTCCTAAGCACCCTGAGGTTTAATTTACTGTTGTTGTTTTCTTTCCTTCAAGTAAAAAAAAAAAAAAAAAAAAGGAACAGAAACTTTCAGCATATGAAGTTTCACACAGGAAATGAAATCAAAACCACTGATACAGCAGCGCAGAACAGCGCAGGGGGGGGTTCTGCAGAGGATATGCTAAAAGAAGAAGTGGCAACGCTGGTGAACAAGCTCACTGAGAGCCCAACTTTGCAAAACAGGTTGGTGAACTGTAGACTTTCACACACACAAAAAAAGCGAAGCTCTGTAGACACTATGATATTTATTTGCTTTCATGCAGCTGGTGCCAGGTGCTGGCTTGCACGGCTGGACAATGGCATGTTTTGTTTAATCCCAGAACAGCCTTGGCTCAGTCTCCAGCTGCAGTTCTGTCCTCTCAGCTTCCATGGCCTTCCAGAGCCACTCACCATGCTCCTGGAGGGCATTTGAGAAGGAATACTGCTATGATCTACAGGCCTCTCAATGGGCATTATTTGATCAAAATCACAGATTTTTGATCACTACCCATCTGCTTTGAAGTTCTGAGTTGGAAGTAAAACCTCTGGCATTGACCGCTAAACCAATATGCTTTTAAACATCATGTGACTCACACTGGTTCCCAACCAGAGGTGTATTTTCAGTTCACTTTTGCCAGGGCCTCCAACATCAGCTTTCACAGACCAAGAGCTGTGCTCGTTTTTATGTCAAGAGATATGAAAACCAAAGAGTGCCAGAACAAATACTTCACTTTTCCAAGGAAACTAACATACAAACCACTTCTGCATACCACAGTCTGCAAAGTGCAGAGCACACACCAAGCATGAACAAAGCCCTGAGCCCACACTCTACTTGGACAAAAGCCCCACAGAATTCACCCTGGAATTGCTGCCTCCAAAGGGAATTCTGTAAGAGCAAAGGCTGACTCCAATACAAGAAACAAGTATTTCAGTCCCACCTTTATACCAAGGTCAATCCCACTGGCTACAGGCACTTGTTTTCTCTGTTGGCTTTTGCAGGTAAGCTTCCCCAAATACAGCATGACAATATAGGAACAGCCTGAGTACTTTTCTCCATCTCTTATCTTTTAAAACAAATGCCAGCTGATGGTTTCACTGCAGGTTGCTTTTATAGCCCTAGCTTGATTACTGTAAACTCACCTTACTCTGTTACCAGCTCAAAGCTGAACAGTTGAGGATTTCTCTTAGTGCAATTTCACATCAGTGAACATGCTTACATTAGATACCAACGTGGCACATTAACCTTTAATATCTAAAGCTGTTTTCATCATGAATACAATTGTCTTTCATTATTTGCTAATTAGGGACAGGTGGTTAACTGTTTGCAGTTCCACTGTAACCGATGGGCACCTGACAAACAGCTGAGATAGCAACAAAAACAATTCATATGTAAACTAAAGGTAGAAAGTGAGAGACTTCCTTTCGTTTACTTGGCTGAATTTTTCTAAGTGACTACAAAGGCTACATGAACTTGTGGTAGTTTTGCAGGAGAAACCTCGGGGATTCAAAGTCCAATGTATCGCTTTCAATTCTCATGTGATTACTATCTTCCTATTAAATTTGACTTGTAATCTATAGCTTGTATACTGCACAGAGTGGAGAAGAGGGGACCTTCAACCCTATTAAGCAATAGCATCTTCCATTCTACATTTCCTCTACATGGCACAACACCTTTTTCACATTTGAAAGAGCAGTCCTCCACATCACCTAAGGAGGATCTGTATGAGGAGAGAGTATTGATTTGGTTACAGAAAGGGGAGGGCAGCAATGAAAGCAAGTCTGTCCTGTTAAATCTCAGTTTTAGAATCCTGCCTTGTATAAAAAGGGATAACAAAGGCTTTTGGTTGGTCATGTTTAAGTCTTTCCACAATCCACTATGGTAGCCCCATTTGTAAACTTTACTTTTGATAGAGCCTGATGGGAAATAAGGTGTTTGCATAAGCAATATACTTCTTGCTGATAAAGGAGAAATACCAAGAAAAAACACCTTATCTTGTCAGACTTGGAAGAGCAACCCTATGAAATTATTCTCATATTTCTCTTTCCTAGCAAGGGAGTTTTGGGGGTTTTTTGTCGCCCCAGAATAGCTAGATAATTATTGAAAATTCCCTAAGCTCACATGGTGAATCTGAGTGCAATTTTGCTTGCTTTCATCACAATTAAAATAACACTATTCTGACAAAGGGTGTTTTTTGGCCAGCTTATGGGGCAACCCATGAAAATTTGCTACCCAATCAAGCTCACAGATGCCCCTCTGCACGTCCAGAGCTCTCTGGCAGACAGCTGCAGGGCTGGGAAGGTGTTTAGCTGAGGAGCAGATGCTCTGTGCAGCATTAACTCCCTCACGTGGTTACAGCCACATGAGGAAACCAGCACGTAATGGCACAGCGAGGGCAGTTGGTGACTCACTAAATCCTAAACACCCCAAAGCTCTCTCCAAGGCTGCTAGAGAATGGGATTTGTAATTGAAAGGGGGAAAAGATGATTTTTACTCTTTAAATATCTATTGTCCTGACATAATTATGCATCAGACTCTTCAACTGATAACTTCAATTGGCACTTACTGAGGATTGGAAGAGAAGTGGAGTGAAATCCTGGTAAAAATTTCAAATAATTTCAGAGATACCCAAATTTCACCTACTATTTTCACCTTTTTTCAAATCTTGATTTTGTACCCATGTGAGTAAAACCACTGTCACCTCACTGACCTTCAGGAGTTCACTCCTGTTCTATGCTGGTATGAATGACTGACAGTGATAAGGAGTGAGGAGTTAATGACATTCACAGCATCATGGCTGAACCGGAACAGGAACTGCATAATAAACAGAACCATAAAGTAATTCAGGTCAGAAGGGACTTCTGGAGGTCATGTAAGCCCAGCTTCTTGCTCAAAGAAGGGCCAACATCAAAATCAGACTGGTTTGCTGACGGCCTTATCTGGTCAACCTCTGAAAATCTCAGTGTGGAGACCATACAGCCTCTGTGCAAACCCATCCCATTGCTTCACTCCTCTCAGGGAGAACTTTTTTTTCACATAAACAATCTCAATTGCTCTATCTGACATAGAAAGAAGATGACGAGGAAAAGGGAGAAGAGGATTAACACAAAACAGCAAGACAGTACCAAATGGAAGGCTCAATCTTCATATTCTGGTGCTGCACACATACAATACAAGCAGTTGGAATGCAAAAGGTACTGAGGGGGTGTGAGGTAAGTGACAAATGGTTAAGCTCCAGGTAAGTACAAAATAATCAACAGTCTCTGGTGGCAGCATATCAGACAATACTCATTTTATTGTCAGATTAAAACATATTCCTTTAAAAAACCAACCAAAAAACCCTACTGAGTGCTCCAATGCATGCCAAGCAATTATTGTTTTCCACAATGTGTCCTGTGACTCACTGTGCCACAATGAATTGGCATATGGTGCTCATTCAGGGTATATAACTCACACATTAGCTCTGAAGAGCTAATAGTTACTTGGACTGTAGTTAATTTTGGGGGTTTTTAATTTCCCCACGGCCATGCAATAAATGTCATGCTTATAATTGTATTATTATTATTTAAAAAAAAATGTTTTTAGTGGTAGGCAAGTGTCATTAACGCCTGAAATTTCTTGTATGCTATGAAAATTAATTCAGACAAACTCTGGCATGCGAAAGCACATAAATAATTGGTAAATACTACCTGTGGTCTTCTGGGTCCAGATTTGCCTGATGCCAAGAGCAATCAAATCCTTTTTGGCTGCAAAGGATAGGAGGGCACTCAACACCTTGCAGAAGGCACTCAGTACCTGGCAAAAATCAAGCTTTCTGTGTGCCAGCACCCCATGAAAGAGCAAACCTTAGCATGTGCAACAGAATTGGTTTTCTTCTCTTGCAAGGGAAGGCAACCTCCAAGAGAGACACAGAGCCAGCTCTCTGTAGGGTGACAAATACTCTTCCTGTCTGGAAAAGGGGCACTTTCTATGGTCACACGGCTTAAAAAAGAGCTTTAACTCTCTTATTGAAAGAGACATAAGTAACAGAGCATCTGTCTTTCGGTGAGTTTGCCCAAGAGCAAAAAAAATCCAGTTTTTATCACGGAGAAGGCACCAGAGATACTTAAAATCAGGGACTGAGTAGTAGCAAAAGAAACTGGGTGCGATTACAAGAAAATTCTTCTCTTGTAATCAAGATTACTCAAATGAGCCCAGGTTGCACCATGACTTGTGAATATGACCAAGAGAACATGACTCCAGAGGGCTAATGGAGCTTTCTACCATATTGAGATGATTTAATGGGGGTAAAAACCCTTTATAGGCAAGGTGTATGTAACACTTGTACACATATGACACAAGTCCACTGAAAGCAGTGCTATTCATTAGCAAAAGTGGATCAGTAAGATGGAAGTGGACCATTGGGATTTCACCCACATAGGGACTCAGAGCTACAGCAGAAATGCCACGGGTTTCAAAGTCAGCAGGACTGATTCCTGAACAAGGAGATCTCACTTCTGACATTATTTACACAACGATAAAGCAATAGCAATGCTACTGGAATCAACAAAGCTACGCTGGAATAAATCAGTTCAGAATTAGATCCTGAATTTGTATGTCTTTGAGCTAATTTCACAGGTATCAAACAACATTAACATCTCAAAATGTGACTTGGAAGGAGAATATAAACAAACATCTCAGCCTACAGCTCTATTGCTCCCTGATCCCTGAGGAGGCAATTATTCCCTCGGTGGTGTCCTGTATAGCCCAAATGCAATGACTGCCAATACAAATATTTTGTTCCTGTGTTTATGCTTTACAAAATGTGAATTTGGACTGGGTGGCCTCAGGTGTTCTCTTCGGTGTTTAACACAACAGGACCCTTAGCATGAAGAGTGATGGTGAACAAGGATCTGCTCTGCTTATTTCCTCACTTGGAATCTCCCGAACCGTTTACTTGTATGGGAGACAGCTGAAACTGTGCCTGAACCCAGACTGCCAGCATATGACCTTTCTTTCACTGCTACTCTGTAGGTTCTTTACTAGTGGTCACAAGATATTCTCTGTCTCCTCAGAAATTTCTTTGGTTTATTCAAACATTGGTTGCATCTCCCTCACCTACATTCCTCTGGGGAGAAGGACATAAAAAGGGCAAAAGTACATAAAAACTAAGTAGAGTCCAGGCCTTTTTCCAATCAAAAGTCATATTCATCTATGCAGAAATGCCAAAGTCTTCATTTCACCCAAGGAGATAAAACCAGTGTTTAGATAATAACACCTTTTCCTCAATGCAAAGAGAAGGAAATGCTGCCCTTGTCCAGATCCCAAATATTCATTCTCTTGTTGGCTAATTCATGACAGTGTTAGCTAGATTTTCATTATTGAGTATTATTTGTAGCTGCTGTTTTCATGAAGGAGCTGTAATAAACAAGTGAGATTTATGTTCTTTTTTTAAATTGCTTGAAATAATTAGCACTGTTAAATTTAGACTCTGAAAAGCCTACTGATTTCTCTATTTTTTCAATACAGAAGCTACAAAGCAATCTATCACCACCAATCAGGCCTGGGCCAGAAAAGTACGCACACCATATAACAACCAAAATGTTATTATGAAATAATCTAAGTTCTCTAAACAACCTTTTAAAAGTAAATGATGGCTGTGCTGAATTAAATGTTTTAACAGTTGCACTTTGTGTTATTCTTCTCAAGTCTAAATGCAGACAGGACTTTGTTTCATTCCTATTAGTGTCTGTACAGGTGCAAACGGGCATGCTGGACCTGGACCATGTTGATAAGCTCAATGGAAAGCAGGGCCAATACTGAGACCCAGACCCAGATCAGAATTTTGCAGCTGACTTCCTAGCTTGATGGTTTATACTGATTATTTATACTGCATCTAAAGCTCTGACCCACGCCAGACATTCAAATACCAAACTCGGAGCTTGTGGTTTGCCCTCATCTCTGCATCATTTACTTTTTCCACTCATTGCCCCTCAACCACAGCTTGCTGTATTGACAGTCCAGATACTTATTTAGAATAAGTAAACATTTTGCCCTCTCCAACCCAATTTGGCCATTTCACAGCCAGTGCTGCATTTCAGAGCCTAATCCAACAAACCTGCTTCAAGACAGCACCAAACAAACAACCTCTAAAAAGCTTTCCACTCATAGTTGAGGTTTTTTTTGGTTGGTTGGTCGATAGTTCTGTGACTCATCAGCCTTACAGTGTTTTTCTTGGTGCAGGTGCCACGATCTTGGCAGTCCAGGTTTCCTCAGTGCAGTGGGAAAGACAAGATGAAATACCAGGGGCCACGACAGAACTTGGCCTTAACAGTTCTACAAGAAGGGACTGATGTCGAGCACTACAACCCCAGAGGAGATGAGGAAAAGATGATCTGCTGTGGGAAAGACCACATCATGCCATGCATGTAAGACATATAGAAGCAAGATACTAATTCTATAATGAGGAAAGGTACAAATGAAGACAAGGAGAAGGCTAAACCTGTCAGTTTTTACATAATGAACTTTTTTAACTAGAGGAAGGAAAGGTTAGGGAAGGTATATAAACAAGAATGATGAAGCTGAGAAAGGAGTCCATACTAACATGCAGAAGACAGCAGTAATAGGTATCAAAATATAAAATCATAAGTACTTATTTGCTCTATATATGCTAAAACAGTAACAACTTCTATGTTAACGATAAAACCCCAGGGCATTAAAATAAACAAAGGCATGCTGTCTTAAGTAATTAATGGATAAAATAAGTGATTATTTTATCACTTATTTTATGGGATGGGGATTTAGTGCTAGGAAGGATAAAGCCCTACATCTCAGGAGAGCAGTGACATTGCCTGAGGAGCGGCTAGCAAAGCTGTGAATCCAAGAAAGACCTAAAGGTGATTGCAGGTAAGATTAGCCAAGTAATAGAGTTTCTCTGTGTGGTGCTACTGATTGATGCAGAAGGGTCAAAGGCCAAGCTATTTCTGTATGTGTACATGGGAAGGGATGACATGGAAATCTAAAGCATAATGCTGCATCAAAACAACCACAGTGAACAAATTATGACCTGTTCAAGTCTCCACAGATTAGAAAGGAGATAGAGAAATTAAAGGAAATACAAATAAGGACAATAAAAGTGATCTAAGGAAAGAGTAGCAGTGCTAAAATTAATATGTTCTATAAATGAGAAGACTCCTGGGCTGAGATCCAGCTATAAATACCTTCAAGGTACTGTGTGTAGAGGAAGGTAATTAATCTAGCTCAAAAGATAGTAGGACAAGAAGCAACTGCTTGAATTTAGGAATGGAAAAATTCAGGATATATAATAAGAAAAAGTTGTTTGAAGAGACACATCTGCTCAACAAGGTAGACTCCCAAGGTGATAGCTAAGGCACACTTACTGTATGCAATCCAGAACAGGTTGTATGAGGAAGGAGCTCTGGGAAATTTTGCCATCATAGCTTTCTACTCTCCAAGGAGATCACCACAGTCCAACCTACTTATCTTTTTGTCTTGTTCTTTATGAGTTATCTTAAAGACTGCTTTTCTATTTAAAAAACCCCAAGAAAACACTCAACCTATATATCCATGTAGTGACAATACATCTACACCAGAGCCCAGAAAATGGGGGTGTGCAGCGCTCCAATGTGTATGTCAGGTAATGGCAAACCTCTCTGACTCTCTTCTGGCTATTCAGTGGTGTGTGCAATTTGAGTCTGTTGGGTGCTGGGCATGAGAGTGTCAGCAAGAAAAAAAATGCTGACCCAGAGCTCAGATTATTCCAAGTATCTGAACATCGAGATCAAAGGCCAAAGTGGGAACTACCTCTTGTGATACTCGTGGTCTTCCTCAGCCTTGTATTAAGACATCCTGCACAGAAGCTTTCAGTGTCACTGCATAAATTATGTACTTTGATTTATGATTAGCTGAAAACCAACTCCAGCAGTATTTTAATAACCCTCAGGAGCTCTTAATAGAAAATAAAGAAGAAAATAAAATAAAAACCCCCACACATTTGCAACAGACCTTACAGTTTTCAATGACAAATGGGTACACACAAACGTGAGGAATATAAACCCCGAGTACCGTTATACCCTCCCTTAAACAAATCCCATCCCAACTGCACTCACCAATCGGGACTTCTGTCCCCTCCTCAATGTAGATGGGCAGTGGTGATTCCTCCATAGGATGAGGCACTGATGGAAAGTAATGAATTGTGGTAGTATTTGTCGCAAAGTGACTACAATAAGATGGTCCCTTTCTTATCATTACAACTACATATGGCTGGTTACTATCACAAAGAACCCCTTCTCAAAGTGGTCACCTCCTGTCACAGTGATCGGTCCAAGTCAGAGTCTGAGGGGTTAAGCCCCACCGAGCATTCACTGCCGCAGGAGTCAACCCCCTCTGAATAGGGCCTGGGAGAGATCCCTGCCCTGGATGCTTCACCATCCTGCCATTTCGTTATAGCCTCACTACTCCTTTCCCTGGAGTTTAACTCTCCTTTGGAAACTCACACAGTTGAAGAAGCCAAGGGGAGCCAATGCACAGACAGGCACAAATAGAGTTATCGAGTCAAAGTCATAATATTTCATGCACAGAACCAGAAGAGAGAGGCTCTGATGCTCAAAGCTTGCCGTTAGCTGTTGAAAAGCCACAGCAGGTGATGGAAGGCTGCACCGCAAATGGCCTCTGGACCACTGACTGTTCATCACTCATTTTGGAGTGTATCTATTGGAGTTAAGAATTCTCGATTCCTTCTTTGTGATACTGCAGTCTCCAGGCAAAACTCTTCAGATCTGCACTGCAGGCTTATTCTGCAGTTTCCAGACACCACACAGTCACTGCTGCAGGGTTTGTCTGTTTGGGTTCTTCTCTATTTGCGAGCTTCTTCTCTTAAAGGTGTTTTTGTTGCACTGTTTCCCATTTATAATCTCTGGGAAGCTATGCTTCACAGGATTTTCAAGAGATTTGAACTTCCTACACTAGAATGAAATAATAATGAGCTACAAATGTTGAAAATGGTCACACACAAAAAGCTTTTGGATTTTTTCCTTCTCTGTTACCTTTTAAAAATGATGATGTACCTTCTCAAAGATACAAATGCTTAACCTAGTCTCAGCTAGGATTCCCAGGAGCAGGGAAGGAGGATTCTTTAATCCTTTGTAGGGTATTCTTCACTTACTACTGGGTTTTTAGGGGGTTTTTTTTTGAAAGAGTATCTTATCATATCCATAAAACCAGCCAAAGAACACTTATGGTTTAAAGCTATTAAATAAAGCATCTTACAGTGTTTCTGCTAGCAACACAACCAGAATAAAGATTTTTTTTAACAGATGCTTGACTAGCAATGGGTGTAATATAAACCCCACGCTGGTGCTTTGTGGGATGCAAAGGGCTGCCAGTTCCCTGCCTTTACCTAAGCCCACCCCTCGCTCACGTGGAAGATGAAGGGAAGCACAGGGGAGAGGAAGAGCAGAACACGGTTGCCTACAGAACTACTGTACAAGCCACAGAAGTCATGGTCTACCGGGACGCCTTGCGCAAGCCACGTTTATCTAGAAGCTGAACTAACATTCCAGCTCAACAATAGCAAAAAAACATTTGTTACCACACGGCGTTTTGCTACATATTAACCAGCAGTTGCTACGCAAGCATAATGGAGTGCTGCAGTTCCGAGATACATGTTATTTATAAAATAATAATAAAAAAAATAAATGTTGACTTATGGAAAATCAGCCTGAGGGGAGTGCTCGTGGGCTTGCCATGCCACTGGACACAGTACATGCTTGGAAGTTATGCAAAGCGGGCCCTGCATTGGGAACAATGCAGTCTTTTTCCTTGCTAACCTAATTTTGCATAAAGGCAACGAGAGTCTTCATCTATGCAGCCCCTTAAAACATTTAATCAGATTTATTTACTAGGAAGAAATACCAGAGCAGAGCTTCCTATACTACTCAACAGCTTTCAAATCTGAGATCTGCAAAAAAACCAGGTCACTAGATGGTGTGGCAAAAAAAAGCCTGTTGTATTTTTAAGACATAACAGCTTTCTCGGTCCCATGATGAACACTTTACCAGGCTCCCCCTGACAGAGCAGCCAGGCTGGAACCAAATGCTTTCACAAAACATTTGCAAGAGTATTCACCAATGGCTGCTGGCATCTACTCTTACTTTAATGGGTATCACCATAGGTTGTAGAAAAGACCTGAAATAACTGTAGGCTATTTGAGGCCAAATACACGTATACACACTCTCTCTTACCCACACGTATACAGGCACACACTAGTACACGTGCACGCAAACAAATGGCTCTATGGGCAGAACTTGGATTCTGTAGGATCCAAGGCAGAAAAGCTGATTTTTGTCACAGGGTTTGGGAATCAAGGGCTCTGGGGTGCTAAAATCAAGTTCTCACTTCTGGGTCTCCTCTGCTTCAGGCAAACCAATTTAACATTATCCCTCTGGGATTTACACACCAGCTTTATGGACATGCTGCTTAAATGTCTGCAAAGTGCTTTGCAATGGTTTCTAAATTCTGCAGTGATATGCACAGAAGAACTGCACAGATAGGTTTAAGATAACAGTTGCTGAGCATTATTGCTGTATAACTACAGTCTATTTTTACATGCTCTATACTTGGTTTCTATAAACAGATGGTAAGTGTTCAGTATTTGAACGTTTTAATGAGCTTTATAAGCCTTTTGTAATTTCATAAACAAGTATAAATAACACTTACATGAAGTAGAGTCTCTCCTGAATGTATTTTCTCTTCCTGTTTGGGGAAAAAAAAAGAGAAAAACAAAAGGGAAAAATATTTTAAAGGAAAAAAATAGGTCTAGCAAGATAAGTCAGACATGTTTCAACGTTATCATGCATCATGTTTCTTAATTTCATCAGTATGATCTTACACTTGAAGAACATCAAGACACTGAACATAGTACCAATGCCAAAACAGGATATCATTTCTCATGTGCTTCATCCCATGTAAAACATTGCAGAAGATTTGCCTACACTATCTAAAAAGCAGGAAAATTACAGTAGAGCAGTGAAATAAAATGCAAATGCCACGTGATCTGAAGAAAAAAAATGAAACAAAAAAATGAACTTTTAACTACATTCCAGCTCACTGATAAGCCCATGGCTCAGCGTACGGGTTGCTCTCCTACCCGTGGACAGCTGACCTGCACCAACACCCTGGAGCAGGGCACTCCTGCTGTGTTAGGGCACGGCATGGCACCGTGGTTTTTCCATGCACTGGCTGTATTCAAGCTCAGGTTGGGCAACCACAGCAGCGAAGGCATCCTTCGAGGCTGCGACAATGCCGAGCGACAGAGAACCACAACAGGAAACCCAGTAACTGCTGAAATGCACAAACCTTCCCAACAGCTGATGGCCCTTAACAGCCACGGGCTTCCCACCCCGCTGCCTCCCACCCAAAGCTTGGTGGCATTTGATTCATGTTCCCCTTCCACCAGCATAGCTCGTGGGTTTGGTGGATGCTCCTGGAGCAGGGTTTAGGGCTGCTGTAAATCCAGACACACTGAAGAGACTGATAGAAATACAGAAGACGCTGCAGGACACCAGCCATGGTTTCACATGGTGTCACAGACTGGCAGCACAGCAGCCCTTCCAACACTAGGTTTTTGGGGAAAAAGGATAATGAAGAGCAGCAGTTTCACTTAATTTCTACTTCATTACCTTATATCAATATTAGCTACTATGTAACCAACTTAAAGGGTAGTGCCTTGGGATGATACTCAGCTTGCACAAATCAATTAAATCCATGGCACTGCAACAGCTGAGGATTCAAGTAAATACGCATGTATGGAACAAATTCAACAAATATTAATTCACTGCATTCTCATCTTTTTCTTCCAAATACCAAGGACCCAATCCTGCAAGCTGCATGCTCAGAGTAGCACTAGAATAAACTTGAGTTCTGTGTATAGAGCTCTTACTGAAGTAGACTCAGGATTACTTTAAAAAACATAACCCTGATCCATTCTGGTCATGTAAATTAAGTTAGTGATGAAAGAAGTCGAAGGCACTAATCCTACTGAGTAATCTATTCAAAGCTTCACTTCTTAAATGATCTACAATTTATTCATATGACAATCAAATAAGCATTACTTACAAAAGGCTTTAACTACCAGTGCTTTCCCATCCATTTTTACGTGTTGCAATACGGTTAAATTTAAAAGAAACTAATCAGCACTATCTTTTCAGAGTTGTTTGCCAGCATGGTTAAAACCCCAGGCAGGGCACCACTGCTGACTCCCCTTACTGGTGGAACTGGCAACACTGCCATTGGGGCATCGGGGCAATGTTGCCCTGTTACCCACTGAGGCAAAACTATGGGGCACTGGAAAACCTAGAAAGGGCAAAATTAAAATAATAGAGGGTTGCCACTAAGTCTTGAGGTGCACTGATGAAAATCCTGGGAGTATCACTGCCTGGGAAACATGGCAGCCTGTTGAAAGTGCCTGAGAGTCTTTTTGGAAACATTCAGCCCATAAGACCTGGCTGGAAGCCACTAAGATACACTAAGAGTATTGATTAAAAAAACCCTCACTGAAATACTAGCAATGATTAGCTGTAAGACAAGATCCTCACTGAGGCTTTACAAACAGGATTCTGCTCAGGCACAGGAGGTTTCCCAAGCACTCTGTAGCAAGAGCAAGCCAATCTAAAGTGTCTTCCTAGTTTTCCCAGGCAATATAACACCTCTTCTCTGACAGCATTTCACACTGACTGAAGCCTCCTGCTACAGCCCCAACATTTCACCTCTGACATGAAAGCACCAGGGAACCCAAAACCTACACATTAGGGACTACCAACAAAGAGCTGAACGCCAAATTTAGCTCCTGGTTACAGCAAAATAAAACAAAAGTCAGTAGCATTTGAAAGATTCCCAGTTTCTACTGGACTCCAGAACAAGATTCCTAAGCAAACAAGCCAAATGCCCTAGGATTTTGATTTAGCATCCCCGAGCACGCAACCACCTTCTTGGGGCCTCCAGGTATCACGGTGCCACCTGTAATCTCCTGTCTTTTGCGAAGTATGACAGAAAATAACCCTCGCAGCGCACGGTGAAAGAAGCAGGTTAATAAATGACAGCAAGAAGCGGCCTTTCCTCTCCCGGCCCGGGGTCGGGGTCCCTCCCCACCCGGGCAGCACCTAGGGAGCGGTGAAGGTGTCTGTCGCCCTCCAGTGGGAGCTTCCTTAGCACAGCCCAAAGCGTGAGAGGTGGGAACAGGGAGGGACAGAGGTGAAAGGCAAATACAGGGGGGAAGAAAAAAAAAAAAAGAACATGCAAAGCAGATAAGAGTCAGTTTAAGAAGCAGCACGAAGATACTGTCTCTGATAGTGCCAAAAATAAAGTTTCCAGTGTCAGTTTAACCAGGCAACACAGCCATTCTCTCTTCACACTCGTGCTTCAGCCTTGACTTAGTCCAGGCAAGGGACACTGTCATGCTGCTGGCTGCCTCAGCTGCTCACACATTTTGCTTTAAAAAAAAACCCCCAATAACCTTCGGGAAAACCTTTCCGTAACACAGCAGTCAGCTCTCCTGAATGTGGACCCAGAGGTAAAGAGCCCGCTGTCAACAACCATCAGAGTTTTCACCAAAGCCTCTCCCCTCCAAATTCCACCGCAGCAGGTTTTAACGGGTTGATTTACCCTCAAACCTAAACTCATAAAATCTAAACTGGTAGCAACTGTCATCTGAGCCCCAAATTACACAGCTGATGACATATGCCCCTGTCAGGGCTGCCTCACTGTTTTCCTAGTCCAAAACTGAAAACATTTTCACATGCAAGCAATAAAAAAAAAATGCAGTTACCAAAATAGCACTATCAACGTAACCAGCTCCTCTCGGCACATTTTCTTAATGCCTTTCCCAATACGGTTAAAAAAATGGGAACTAACAAAAAAAAAATCCATCTTTACACCTTGGCACAAACTGTGCTGAAATACGTGTGGGGTTGTATTTAGTTGTGCTTATCTGGATTCTCTCCCACTACTTTTTTCCTTTTTTTTTTTTTTTGCTTCATCTATGCTTCCCTTTAAACGCAGCTCTTACTAAACAGCAGAAATCAGCTTTCACAATTTCTAAATACCAAATTTTGTCACTCTCGGAGCTGCCTAAGGATAACACAGCTTGCCTTCAGCTTCATAAATAACACATACTCTGCACATTTCTTCGCCTGGGTGAAATAAATTCTCCCATGTTCTTATATGGAAACCTTGTGAGTCCTCCCACGTAGCGCCTGGTACAATATTCAGGCAGCGATGGGCATTCATTATCTTAAAGCCAGCGGATGAATTTCGGATACAAGTTACCCCCAGACGAACCCAAAATGATCAACCCTTCACACCACGCTGAGCTCAGTAACCTGCTCTGTGCAGTCCCTGCATTTTATTTCCAAGCCCCAATCACAACTTTGATTTCAGCATCAAACCAACGAAATAAATGGAAAACGAAGGGAATAAAAAGGAAAACGAGGGAAACAGTAAGAAAGCAGCAGCAGCGTTATTACCCACCAGGTAGGCCCATTAGCATCAGATGTAGCATTGCCCGTACCAGCCTCTCCACTCGAGGTTAGCGCACGGCAGCCAGAGAAAACACGGCGGGGAGGGGTGGGAAGGAGAGAGAAAATGGACAAAAATAGCCGGGGAGAGAAGCGTGCGCCCTAGATGTGCTGGAGGGCCGCCAGCAACGGGGAATTGCCGAGAACTGTTATCGCCAAAAAAAGTTAACGCAAGGTGGGGGGAGGTGTGGGGTAAATAATCGCCGGGAAGCAAAAACCCCGCCGGGGTAATGGGAAAGCTGGGGAGGAGGGGGCTGGAAGGAGAAGGATGAATTAACAAATAAACGTAAGAGGGGGAAGGGAAAGCGCGCCCGCGGGGCACCCCGAGCCGGGGCGGACAAAGGGACGACGATGCCGCCGCCACCGGCCCGGCTCGGTTCGCTCCGCTGGGCGCGGAGCGGCCGCCCCTTTGTTCGCAGAGAGGGGGGATCCGGGGCGATCCGCGCCGGCCCGCGCGCCACCACCGCAGCGGCAGCAGCGGCAGCGGCAGCAGCGCAGCCCCGCGCCGCCCGCCCCCCTCCCTGCCGGGAGGCGCCGGTAACCTGCGTCGCTGGCCGCGGTGCCTGCGCGCCGCTGCGCCCTGCGGCGGTGGCGGCGCGTCCGGCGGAGCGGTGCGGCGCGACTAAGCAGCGCCGAGCTGGAGAAACGGTAATTTATAAGCGCTTTCTTCCTGACCTTCGTGTCTGTTGTCTAATGAGGGAGCTTTGAGCATCACCATCCTGCTGAGTGGGAAAAACACCGGCACGGCCTCTTCTTTGCTGGGGAGGGGGGAGCTAAGGAAGGGGTGTGGGGGGAGGCAGGGGCCATGCCGCAGACACGGGCGGCCGGAGCCCGGGCTTTGGCAGGCGGCCGCGGGCGGCGGGGAGGGGTGGGCGGGTGCGGGCAGCGGCCGCCGCCACCCGGGGGGCCGCCCCGGGCCGCCCGCCTCCCCCGCGGCCTGCCGCGGCCAGGGGAGCGGGGCTGAGCCGGGGCCGGCCCGCGTCCGCGGCGGGGAAGGAGCGGAACGAGGCTCCCAGCCGTCGCTCTCCTCTCGCTATTTTTTTATTTTCGTGCGTTCTTTTTAATCGTTATTTTTTTATCTTCACACAAAGAGCGCCCTTCTCGCAGTCAAAGCATCCCACGGCGCTGTCACCAGCTCTGCCCGTCGCTGCGCCCGGGCTCTGGCTCTGATCTTCCGCGGCCACTTTTCTTCCCGGGAAACTGTACTCTGGACCCGGTGCCGCCCTGCCAGGCTTTGGAGGCGTTTGGTCTCGGCAGCCGTGTGCTGCTGGAGAAGGCAGCACGGGAGCGTGGCCTGGCAGGTGCCTGGGCGGCCGGGATCTCCTTGCTCTGCTCTGCCGCTTCCCAAAAGCGCAGTCCCCGACACCGGGCAGTCCCAGTCGCAGCTGGAGAACAAAGTACGGCCGGGGCGATCGGCAGGGAAAATGAGCAGGGCAACGTTTTGTCTTGCGCTGGGTTTCACAGAACCGAAAGCTGGTGCTTTTCCCCTGCAGGCGAACGGGTATATGACTCAAATATGTCCTCGCCCTCCTACCTGCATCCCCTCTGGTTCTCTTAATGAAAGGGTACAGCAGCACACAGAGTCGTGAGGAATTTTCATATAACCCCTGCTGAAGACTTAGTAAGATCCTCTGTACTGCAAAATACCGTTTGCATTGTGGGAGCAGAGTAGTGGTGAGAGGATATTTTGGGCCATCTGTGTTTCGCAGAAGTCCCGTGGCGCTAAAGACACTGGGAACAGCAGAGATGCACCAAAGAAGAGTGAACAGTCCCCACAGCTCTGCTCTCCAGGCTTTCCTGGATACATGATGCTACCTTCCTACACCACAAACTAGGACAGCAGTCATTGGGAGCCCACCTCTGGAGCCCGTTGCCTATGCACAGGCTTCTGGGGGAACAAATTCCACCACAGCAGCCTCCAGGGAGGTCTCTAGAAAAGGCTGATTTCCTTAGTTGGTTCTTGCAAAAGCTGCACCCCTTCTGCACACTCCTTGCTGGCAGTACAGGATGCCAAACACACTGTGCCACAGTCACACATCCAATTTGCCCTGACTGCAGTGCCCATGTGATTTTCCAGTATCTGAGCAGATTTCCAAAGTGAGTAGGTTTTTAGCTGAAAAAGAGATATATGCAGCTAATTGATGTCATATCTCCACTGAACAGCCTGGTTTAAACTTGTAACGATGTAGTCCATGCTGCCACCTACGTCTTCTGATTCAGCTTTCTTGTGTACTGCAGCTTCGATTCGTAGGCATCCTTCAGAAGGCAGCTCACATTTTGTGAGACTCCACGAGGGACTACAAACACAGGCGAGCTCTGGCTACACTAGGGAATGAAGCAAAACGTTTCTCACTGGTGCAGCCACTTGTTTGGTTGCAGTGAGGATGCCTTGATGCAGATTAGGAACAAGCAGTCACATCAGTGAAATGTAAGTAGCGGCTGGAGCCTCGTCTGTATGAAGGATCCTGCCAGCACAGCTGTACCAGTGACAGCAGTGGAATATTTTGCTCAAGTTCTCTAGGGGAATCAAAGCCTGTATTTTGTCTCTGGCTTTCTCTGTTCTGTTGCTCCTCACTCATTAAAAGTCAGACACACAAAGCACATGGTTGCTCTCTGTGTTTAAAAAAAATTATGTTCGGGGTAAAAAACCAGCAGCCAAAGCTGTTTTGAAGTCAGAGGCGTGTACACAGTACCTGGAACTAAGTGGAATAATAATAATAATAATTAGTCCTTTTGTGTCATAGATATGCACATGGCTGTTTGCTATTTCATTATGAGACAGCACAACTTCTGAGAATGTGCCTGATGAATATTTGGGGGAACTCTGCCTTCAGCTGCAGCAGTGTATGGCAGCACTAATGCCTTTGGCTCCTCCACTCTCTTATGTAACTGAAATCACAAGTTGGAGCCCGAATTACAAAGCATAAGCATGTGTATAATATTAAGCGTACAAATAGTGCCTGAAATTACTGTCCTTTTCATGTAGGTCTGGCTTTAATCTGTTAGAATTTTTGCTTCTGCGTATCTATTGACTTCGGCGTGTGCTGATGCCATTCATAGTGCAATCAAGCCTAACCCCTTAAAAAGCCCACTCTGAAGACATTAACCCAAACCTAAACTAAGACAGTCCAAAATCACTCTGGTTACAGGTAGGTGTACTTCAAATGACCTGTGTACCAGACCTCAAGTGTATCCAGTATTAAGAAGCAGAATACCCTATCCATGTGGCTGCTTTGGTGACCAGCCAGAGCGGCAGGTTTTTTGCACCCCAGCCCAAGGCACAAGTTAGTCATCACCTTCCTTTGCATTTTCCCTCTTTCTCAGAGACTATTTTTGCCATTACCATGCTGATCTACTTTCTAGAGTTTTAAGGTGTCGGGTGCTGATACAGCGAGTGCCTCTTGTATCTGTTTAATCCGATAACATAACTCTTTTTTAATCTCCACGTCTGGGTCACAGGGTTTAAAAAAGACACTGGGCCAAATCCCCAGCTTGGCTACAACGTGTGGAAATCTACTGAGATGGCACGAAAGTCAGGAGAGATTCGCTGTATTTGCACCCGGTTAAAGAGGTCTGGAGAGGCAGGGATGTGAGTGCCAGATTTCGCAGATGGATGCCTATTAGCACAGGAGTATGGCAGAGCCAGGTCAGGTTTCTATCAGGTAAGGCAGAGGGAGGGATATCACACCAGGATCTAAAATATGCTCGTCAGCAAATTCTCATTCATTTTTAAATTGAAACAGATTTAATATTTCGTCACTTTTCAGGAGAACAGCTTGTTTTCACTGTGCGGCTGCTAAAGCGAACATGATGTTTCATGGAGTCAGGACCAAGACAGGGCAAGGACAAGGAGGAGGTTTTGCAGGGACTGGGGAGATTTTACATATAAACATTCAAGTTAAAAAGGCAAAATTCATCCAGGCATGAAGTCCAGCAGAAAGCTAGGAGACAAATGGACAGCATTGTCTGCAAAGGACTGTGTAAGCAAAAATGGCGAAAAGATGGTCCGAATAAGTCCCTTGCATTAATGATTCTCTAGACATGAATTTCCTATATAAAGCTCTATGGAGTCAACCTTTTTAGCAGAGGATCCTGAACTCGAAAAAGGAAGGCAGATTTTGTAAGGGATTTGCATATCATGGAGTGACTGTGGATTGCAGATTTTAAGCATTACTAAATTGGGGAATAAATTGTTGCTGTTGTTGTTACATACCAGGATATCTCACTAATCCACCCAATCCACTAAATTGTAGTTTTAGTCTGTGTTTATTTTACATGAAATTATGGCCTGGACAGTTAATTTTTCTTAATTTATCCATATAAATCATATATAAATAAAATATCAAAGAGAAATCAAAACATGACCTGTGTTTTTGGTACACTCCCCATCATGTGAACCTGCCAGTGATGGAGCCCAGTGATGCACCCAGTTTACAAGTCAAACACAAAGACAACTAAAACCCACAGGTCTTCTTGAAAAGTAGCCAACTGGCATTAAATTCTCTCATTTTAATGCTCTGGGTGGCCTATTTTGCTTATATTTGAGACTGCCTAGCCATTATGGGATTGCCTGCACTGGTCCTTCCCTTACATCAAGCTAATTACATATTAACTTGAGGCACTCAGCAAGTCTGAGAGGCTGGAGATGGTCCTTTCTGAACACCAGTTGAGTTTGGAAATGCCTGATGTTTTACAGGGGTGGATTCCCAAAGTGAGAGGCAAACACAGAGGAACCAAACAGCCTGGAACCAAAGTGGTCCTGCTGGCTTTTGAAAAAAGCGAGTGTCTCAAGTTAATTGACAGTCAGCTACCTGGAAATAAAAACCTCTCATATATCCAAAGGTTTTCACCGCGATTTTCAAGAGCTCTTGAGCAATTTAAAATTCTTGGAAGGAATGCACTATAGAATGAAAAATGTATGTATTATTAAAGAATGTCTCCAAACTGAAAGCCAGCCAGTTTCATAAAAGTGAGCTAAAAAAGCAATAACAGGTACTCTGTCTCCTGCTGGATACTGTATGAACCGTATGTTTTGCATTTTGGAAGTCGTTCTAAAGCAATGTTTTTTCTTCACTGTTGCTATTGGGAAGAACAGTAAAAGAACTATGCATAAATGAGGTTAAAGTAATCTAATTAAAAAAATAAACAATGTGCTTTCATCATCAATTCATATCCAGTCATTTGGGATCTAACTTTAAAAAAAATAGACAAAAATTCAGAAAGGATTTTGAAGGACAACTGTTTCTCTTTAAGATTAATGATAAACATACTTGTGTGTTCAAGGGAGAATAGATCCAGTGTTATGTAACAGGATAAAGAAACCAAATCCTTTTCCCTTAAATTAAAATAACCAGTATGTGTGTGGATTTTAGTCAATCACTGAAAATTCAGGAAACCCATTTTCTTTCACAATTGCATTCCACACACTAAAATTGACGTCTTCTAACTTTTAAACAGAATCACAACAATTAAAGGCAGAAAAGATTTGTTTGTTCTGTTTGACCACACTTTGCCAATAGAGGGTTGTTCCCTAAGGAAAATTCTGCGGCACTTGCGCTGTGCAGAAATCCAAATGTGTGCTCATCTTTTTATTTCATGTGGCATTAGCAAATCCAGTTATTGCACTTCTCAATTGTTTTTTTATTTTTAATCTAAGTATCTAGGACTAGATGTATGCTACCTCATCTTTTTAAATCATTTTTTGCCTGAACTATTACATAACATGTCTTATAAAATCTTGCAGTGCCTGTCTAAATTTGCCAAAATGTGACAAGATCAACAGGTAATGGATTTTTTTTTATGTTGGCATTGTTCTTTGCTGGCCCAGTCATACAAAATATGTTAAAAAAACACAGAAGAAAACAATTTTCTACCATAGAACCTGCATTTTTCCACTTCTGTATTTTACAAAAGCATACCAGAACTTCTGCATCAGAATTTGACACATAAAGTTCCTCTTTATCACGAGTTCAATTTTCCAAAAAAAGGCAAATGATAGTTTTAATAACCAAGATATAAGCCCCTAAAAGGCTAAGACTCTAAATGTACTTGCTGCAAAAAAAAAAAAAAAAAAAGAAAAAGTCCTCTTGTATCCAATTATGGAGTCATTATTTACACAATGCATAAGAGTTGGGATTTATTTAGAAAGGCACTGCTGAGTTCAGGTGATGTTCACTCGTGCATGAAAGAAGCAGGTATGTGCTTTGCTGAGCTACTCAGAGCTTTGTCTGTGGACCAGAGGAAATGCTGCTTTATGTTGGCACATCCTTGCACATGTCCACACGTGATGTTTTCAGTCCTGAAAGCAAAGCTTCAGGTCTGGGCAGTTTAAGTGATGTTCCCTCAGTGGACCAAGTCCTCTGTTAGCACTATTCCAGTATCATAAAGTGTGCTTGGAGATGATGCACATGTTGAATATGCCTCTTTCCCTGCTAATTACATACCCACCATGCTGCAGAGATTTCTTTGGCCTCATGAGCAGAACATCTCCTGCAAAGTAAAAATGGTTACACAGGTCCTGCATGAAAGCTGGGAAGCCATAGGAGATGTAGGCTGGGAGATGGGGAAGAAGTTGTGTCAGACTCACTCTGAAAGCAGTAAAGGGTCCTCAGAGTCTGAGGCTGCCATGTAGAACCACTTCTATTTCCATTTGGAGCTAGTCATCGACCTGGGCAGGCTTCGCCTGACCACATCCCAGGTGACAGTGGGCATCACAGTGGAAAATAGTCCAAAAATATATGGTGGTGAGTTTACTGAGGCAGGCGAACCCTCTCGACTTACGTGATGGATCCAGAAAAGCCGATGGATTAAACTCGCCAGAGAGGAAGAAGAGTGATCACTTGAGTGAATTCATACATGCTCATATTTCTTTCTATTTGCTTATGGGTCCCTCTGCTGCCTTCCTTCTCAAAGTGATGGTGAAACAGTTATGAAGAGTGTATAAAAAATGATTTTAAATTACCTGGTTTATTCTGACAAATTACATCGGTAGGTGTAGGCAAAAAGTAAGAGAAAATATTGTAAGAAACAAAACCACTCCCAAATGCATGTTTGTACGAGTTCAGACAGATAGAATTTCTAGCTAGGTGAATTAATGCACTGCAAGCAGAGAAAGGGCTTCAAATGAGCGCATAGAAAAAAAAAGAAATTTCAAAAGAACCCTGCAAGCTATCCAGTAACTGCTCATCCAGTTATCTGACTTTAATTAACAGAACTGAAAAGCAAACATATAATATAAACTTAAAAACACAGCGCTTCGGTTTTCCAGACTGCCAGTCCAAATGCAAAACAAATCGCTTGCATCTGGTGGTGGGGAGGCAGAGCCGGCACCGGGAGCAGCACTTTCACCCTGCCGAGTGACGCAGCAGCATCTGCTGTGCTACCCACGTGTGGCGGCTCCGACCTCTCCCGGCACGTCCGAGCCCGCCGTCCTCCGGCACAGCCTGGGCACAAACACCAAAGCATTGCCCGCGTGCCCCGAGGAGATGCCTTGGCTTCCACCTCAGCGGCAGCACCGTTGTTCCCTAAGGCAGCAGTGCCACCGAGGAGAGGCCAGGCTTGGATGACCTTGAGCCTCCTGAGCAGTTACCTTT